CTAGGAAACGAAATACGTTAACACACCTATAACAACCTGATCCATAACGCCCGCTTTTGCGGGCGTTATGATCTATAACGCCCGCTTATAATACCTTAAGGTGTTTTTGTTGTTGTTGTTGTTCTATTAATTTGCACTTTACCCTAGGCAGCCACTAAATGTCTGACCGAAAATAATTTTCGGTCTAGCCAGGATTCGAACCCGGTCTACCATCAATGTTTCCCATGTAGTCCAGCGCGTTAACCCACAGGACCACCACCGTTGCCTTGCCTTATGAGATGTTTATAGATATATTAATTTATTTCGTTTCTATGTACAGGTCCTAGGTCACAGCTACAGGTACATGTCAAAATACAAAACAATATTCTGTCACACAAGTTTAACTGATTTTGTTAATAACAAATTGATGAAAAAACATTGTGTTGAGTAGAAAATAAAGCATTGTATGCACCACGGGGATTTCAAGATTATAATGCCCTTCAGGCGAAATATATCCCTCGGGCTAGTTTCGCCTTCGGGCATTATAATCTACATAATCCCCTTGGTACATAAATAGCTATTTCGTTTTTCTTTTTCAAGCTTTCTCCATAAATAATTTAATAGTTGGTTATTATTACTGTAAATTATTATAGTAATACAATGCTTTCATTAACGTAGTTGCCATGGCCTCTGTTCAGAATTGGGTAATTCTTATTTATCGATATTAATAGGACTCCATCACAGAGTCAAGAATCGAGCGTTGAGTTTTTATAAACATATACATTTTTGTGGGGTTTTGCGCGCTATACCTCACGATGGAGATACGAAACCTACGACAGTGTTAAAAAGTACAGCTCCAGTCGACGAGCGTCACGGTTTTTTACTTCCGCGTTTTTTTAGTGACACGTTGAGAACAATCGATCTCAATGATTTCGGTTATCGGATGTACTTTCGCTCAATAATATTATCCGGAAGCTCATTTTTGGGAGGATCAAGAAACCCCGGCCGGGTAAGCTAGAATCCAGGACACAGAGGTGAGACCTTGCCATTACCCATTTTTTTTAAATCTTTATCGTGAGTCGTTTTTTCTTATTTTCAACTTATTTCAAAAATTAAGTTTGCCTGTTTCTATTAAAACAGGCTGGTCCTAAACATTTGATCCTTCGACCCTAGATGGAAAGTCCTTGGGATATACAGTGTATATTAAAATTATTGAAATTATAAAGAATGACTTATTTTTGGTTTCTGGTTGCAACAATCACCGGCTTGAGTATAAAGTCCAAGTAAATTCCAAGACTTTTTTTGGTGTTTTGAAACTTGTTTGGTATAAAAGTTAAAGAATTTATTGGGACTATACGGGTTTCTAGTTTTTTGCTGGATAGGTGTAGATTTCAACTATTTTCATTGTTTGTTTAGATATTCAAATAAATGCAAAATAGAGAATAGATCATATAATAGTACATTAAAATACAAGTTTCATAAGACGTCATTTTATCGCACGAGCCCTATATTAGAAAACGAGCCGGAGGCGAGTTTTCTAAAGGGCGAGTGCGATGAAATGTCTTATGAAACGAATATTTTATACTATTTTTTCTATTTTGGTATTGTTTAATTGAAAAAAAACAAACTTTTCTTGGAAATTTCATTCTCATATTTCCTGATTTCATATGTTTAGGTTGGCAACACTACATGCCAAATATAGAAATCTTCTATTATTTTTTATCGCGAATGACAGTTCAATGGCCATCAATCAGCTAGTGTTACCAACCTCCGATAAGTAAAAAAGGAGTGTCACAAAGAGCTTCTTTTCGAAACTACTTTAAGTGTCGAAAATACTTCGATATGACACCAAAATAGAAAATAGTATATTATGCAATGATCATGTAATGATAACCATTAATACACGAGCATGTTGTAGGATACGAAACGAGCCGCAGGCGAGTTTCGTATATAACATGCGAGTGTATTAATGGCCATTACATGAGAGTTGCATACACTATTTTTTCTACTTGCATTAATAAACAAAAAACATATTTATTTTATAAGAATAGTGAACTTCTCAACTGGTGACAATTATTGACAACTTGACAATTTCAAAAATTAAGATCTAGACGTCATTTGGGCATAAATTCCGCACCCGATTTATTAATTTTTTGTTGTTTCTTTTGGTAAATACTAATAGAGACAATCCAAAATTCCAAAGCAAGTCTGTTATTTTTATATAAACATTGTTCAATGCTCAAAATACTCGATTCCATTGGCTGAAAAATCTGTATCATAATGAAAATCTGTATCATAATGAAGTTCATTATAAAACAGATTTTAGGCGTATTATGAAACGTCAGTAGAAAAAATTATTTGTTTTTGTTCAAATTTCAAATTTCTTTTGGGTCAAAATAATATTTGGATTATTATTTATTACCTAATTACATTGCTTGAATAAGTAATATTGTTTTTTCAATTTTCAAAATTCATATTGTGGTGAATCGTGCAAAAGATAATTAGTCGTTGTGTACCTTGAAGCATGAAGGCATAATTTGGTGGATGCCTTTATCGTAAACAAAAAAAAAATTTTTGAACCGTAAATTAACACTATTGGATTTTTTGATTTTTTTTGCATTTAAGTTTTTTCATTTAGCTAACATTGCGAATAATTAGCCGCGCTTCAAAAAAGGCTCGTTCTTTATTGGCGAATTTGTTTCTTTTTTTCTCTTTTTTTGAATTTTGAAAGATTATTCGTCATGGACGGACTCCAGAGAAAGCGAAAATCTGTTATGAAGACTCTAGAAAGATTGGGTGCTATGGGTCAAAAGGCATTAGGCAACAAAAGTAAATATTTGGCAGATTTTCGTTCAGCTTTTGAGGACCTCCATCGACTTCAATCAGCCTTTGAGGAGCTGCACCTTGAAATCGTAAATCTTTGTAGTGATGCTGAATTTGATATGGAAGACAAAGTTCATGCTCATGTTGAAGCGTTGTGCTTTTCCATAAGAAATATACATCGCGACCTTGTTGCAGACAGTTCCTCTGTTAAAGCAGAGAGTGCTGCAGCGGCAGGGGTGTCGACGGTAGCAGTAAATCAAAGTGCTAATCAAAAGAGTGACACTCTAAAATTACCTAGGATAGAAATTCCGAAATTTGACGGTAATATTAGAAAGTGGCCTACATTTTTCGATTTGTATAAAGGTCTCATCCATAATAATAGTTCGCTGACTGACATTGAGCGTTTTCAATTTTTGATTTCATATTTAGAAAAAGATGCGGCTACTGTAATTAAAAATTTGCCTATTACTGGAGCTATGATCTGACTAGACTAGATTCCCGAATTAGCTGTGATTCGGAAGCCTATCATATCAACCAACACTGATTGATAGAAGCCTACTCAGTCCTAAATTAAGCATAGTAGATGAAAATTTGCTACTCAGTTCCGTACAAAGCATACAAAACACAAATGGGCCATATATATATATTAAAAAGAAATAGATAAAGCATCAATTCTTTTCCTATAGGTCTCCTCAGGACTACGATAGAGATGATCTTAGCATCGCCTGACCGACCAACTCAATAATGGTGTCCAGCACAATTGAGGTTCGAGGACGAACCTTTATCAGGATGGCCGAACTGTAGAACGCTCCAAGAACGTCATCAATTTGCTGTGCAATATTTCGCCTGTTCCCAACAGTTCCGGAGTGGAAAGTGTCAATGGAGTTGAAAGGGTTGACACCAATGTTGACACCGACCATTGATATCGATATATCAATGATAATTTATGTAATCCATAGCAACGAATTGTGTTTATTTTAGTCAGTTTGTCAATATTTGTCAACTAATTGGTCATTGTAGAATAATTCATGCTAATATATTCTAAAAATTGACGATAGATGGGTATTTTTGTCCTACAAATTACTTGACCAAAGCTACTAAAATACCAGAGAAACTTCATTATTTCATTTCATTTTAAAGATTTTTTAGTGACTAACCGTTTGTAACCGTTTTATAAGCAGTGACAGTTAATATGCATGGCATGGATTATTTATCACCGCTTATAAAACGGTTACAAACGGTAATTCACTAAAAAATCCTATCTATAATTATTTTATAACTCACTTATTCCACGCCACCATTAGGTATGTGAACAAACCATAGACAGCAAATTAAATATAAAAATATAAAATAAGTTTTTCAAAAGTCTGGATTGCGATTTGATACTTCTTACCAAGCTCATTAAATTGACCTCAAGCACAGAGTTGCCAGATCTATGAAGTGAAAAAATGGGACTGATGTTATCCAGAGGGAAAGCTCGAAATTTTTTTTCGGGTGCCACGCCCAAAAGCATAAAGGGGAGGGAGGGACAGGTGCCCAACTAACCCAAGACTTGTAAATTAACAAGATTGCTCATCCTGAGAAGGCGTACGTTCGCCGGTTCTCGAGCCAACAAGGTCTGCGAGTGACGTCACCACGCCAGCAGCTAATAGTGGTGACGTCACCCGCAGACGACGATGAAATGTGTGCGATTCAGGCTTGTTATTTGATTTTTGCGTCGATTTTAAATGAAAAAATAGCTATCTACAAGTTTTATAATAAAATAAGCGTGTTTTTTGCATTAAATGTGAAAATTAGGTGGAAAAAGCGGGAAAACCGGGACCTGAAATTAATAAAGAAAAAGCGGGACCGATTAACAAAATGCGGGACTGTCCCTCCTAAGGTGGGACGTCTGGCAACCCTGCTTAAGCACCTATATACTGAAAATTTTAACAAAATTACAAATAAAAGTTCTGTCATAATGAAAATACCTAATTAATACCACATAACCCAAGGATAACAAAATCCCAAATAAAAAATCCAGGTCCGTATTTAAAAAAAGGTTGAGGATTGCCGCCTGAAGACGAAACGTCGAATTTTAAATTTAGTAGCACCATCTTCTAAAGGGGAAAAAGTAACAATGATGAAGTGACATTTATTTTGAAATTGCTCTTCAAATAAGCCCGGGAAAAAATAAAAATGATTTTACAAAATTTCGGGTTTTTCCGAATATCTCCGGAAGTATTCGGATTCTTCCTTGTTTCAAAACGGCATTCTATTGGTCATAAAATTGCGCAATTTTGTCATAATTTAACCGACCCCGTATCTCTTACGGTTACCGAGATCCCAATGATGAGGTTCGAATTTGCGCCACTCTGTACAGTGGAAATACTTAACTGTGATTTAGAAGAATAAAAATACGTGTACAGGCTTTTTTAGAATAGTGACCTCTTGATAGAGCTTCCTAGCTCTATCTAAAATAGAAGAAAACTTTCTTGAATTCAAAATAGAGCCACTAGAACTGAAATTAAGTCCGACCTCTACTTCCAGAGATAAAAACTTATTTTAGAGCAAGATATCACATCCTGGACAATCAAGAGCAGAAAAATCCTGCAGAAATGAAGTTAATTAGGATAAAGGAATACTAGGAGGATTTTTTTTGAAAGAGGATTCTTTAAAACACTACCAAATAAAATTGCTAATAAATAAATTTTACTTTCATAAGCTAATGCATGTATTTAAATAAGTAGCAACTTTCATTGCCTTCCAAATATTGCATGTTCAGGCAACATCAAAATACATTCAAAAAAGTATCTCTTAAAATAAAGTTATTCCTCCATTTACAATTATAATGTCGCAAAGAAAATTGAATTAAATTCCACTTAATGAAAAAAAAAAGTTGAAACATTAAAATTTAGTTACCAGTGTGTATCCAAGTTTCTGTATTACCATCACCAGTACCTCTCTGTACCAATTCATTGGGATATGTGACCAAAAATAATTCGTGACCATTTGTATATAATATGAAAACAAATAAACTTTTAACAAAAAAATAATCCCAAATACACCAATTTCCTTACAAATTTCTTTTTGTTATGGTACCTCCGCTCATCATTTCAATATCTGGTTGCTCATAACACAAAATATGCTCAGTGGCTTCTTCCTCTTCACCAATATGTAACTCATTGGATTTATCATTTTCTTCCACTTCGTTTTTGTACACTTTAAACTCTTGCACCTCTTCTTCTTCTTCTTCTGGTAGTTGTATCACTTGAACGACTTGTGCAACTTGAGCTTTTGACCCCCTAGAGAGAAAAAAAATGAAACCTTCAAAACAACAAATGACAATTATTATTATTTACCTTGGTGCAGCAACTTTTCGATGTGTTTTCTCATGCCTCTTCATGTCAGACCGCAACCTGAAAGGCTTAGCACAAATCGAACAGTTATGGGGTTTCTCCCCAGTATGAATTTTTCTGTGATCCTGCAAATAGGACGAAGCCCTAAAAGTTTTGCCACAATATTGGCATTTGTAGTTTCTCTCGCCCGTATGAATACGCCTGTGCACCACCAAGGAATATTTCCTTGCAAACGCTTTGCCGCAATATTCGCATTGGTAGTTTTTCTCATTTGAATGAATTGATGTTATGTGATACTTTAGGTCGCCCCAGTGGCGGAATTTGCGGCCGCAATGGACACAGTCGTAAGGCTTGTCTCCTGAATGCAACCTCAAATGAACTAAAATAAAAATAATAAGAATTTGTATGCAAACAATACAAGCATAAACCTTTTAGGGCACTAGAAGCAAAGAAGCTTTTGCCACATACTTCGCATTGATGAGGCCTCACGCCACTGTGACTCCTCATGTGATAAACCAATGAATTTCTGTGTTTGAACACACGTTCGCACAACTCACAATAATTGAGCTTTTCTTTAATTTTTTTATTTTTCTTTCTTACAATTACTGCAGGAGTTGGCTCAGTCATGCCACTGGTAACTGTACACATAACCAAATGTTGCAGTAAAATTGCTCTTAGAGCAAAAGGTTGTTTGCACAAGTGGCAAACGTGCTCATTTTTGTCTTCCAATTCTTCCAAGTCTTTTCCAGTTTGATGGAGTTCTTCTTCTTGGTACCAAGCTTTGCTGTCGTCTTCAAGATCATCCCCTTGGAGACTGTCATAGTCTACAGCTACGTCAATGCCTGCCATCATGTCTTCTGCATCAGAAAATTCATCTTCAGGTTCAGGTTTGTTGGTGTGAACATCTCTCATGTGAGCCTCAAAGGTTTTTTGACATCTAAAGGTTTTATTGCATTCAATGCATTGTAAGTTTAATAAGCTTGATAGTAAAGTTTCTTCTTTTTCTTCTCCAGCAACTTTTTTCTCTTGCTTGAGAGTTGGAGGAGATTTCTTCTTTTTTTCTTCAACTGGTGGGGCTTCAGGAGTTGGTAATACTGGTGTAGCAATTAAACTGCCAGGTTCATAATGTTTCTTTAGATGCTCAAAAAATTTCAATTGATCTTCGAATGCTGTGTTGCACAGCTGACAGGAAAATGGGGAGTTTATAGGCACTTTAGCAGCATTGCATGAGCCTTCATGTTCTTGCAATTCACTGGGGTTATATATATATGTTGTACTATATATATATATATAAAATATTTGGTTTGATTTTCCATGCTTTTCCATCCATAGACGCGTTTCGACCTATCAGGTCTCATCAGTATGGCTAGGAAAAGCAAAGAAAACCAAACCAAGTTTCGTGCCTGTAAGCAATATATACATAGTACAACGGTCGAAATTTGATCGTGGCGCCATCTAAGACAAAACTTCAACACCAAGCAGCAATTTTCGCTGCAATATGGTGACTGAGTAATCTAATCGGCCAACCAAATTTCAGTTCGTGGGGAAACCCAGAATAGGAAAACCTATTATCCACTGATGAGAAAATATTTGGTTTGATTTTCGATGGCGCCACGATCAAATTTCGACCGTTGTACTATATATATATATACATTAGCAATATGATCCGAAGCCCACTACAATTCATGGATGAGTGGAAGCCCGGTAATAGGGGCAGGGGACGAAGGTGTATAAAAAAAGTATATTTCATGTATGAAGTGAAGCCCGCAGATACGTCCTATCTAATACGAGTCCCGTTTGTATAAACTGTATAGACCCCATATAATATCCGAAGCCCTGCGGTGTTGCCAGACAACACAGATTATATTAAGTAAAGGCCAGACATACATCACATCTAATATGAGTCCTGTATATAAGGTGTATAGACCCCCTATATTATCGGAAGCCCGACGGTATAAGCAGACATTCCTGCTGTATACAATAAAGCCCGGAGATAATATGTCAATACGACTCCTGTTTATATAGCCCAACGGTAGATGCAGACAAACCAGAAGGCAGAAGTATCAGGTTTTCCTCAAAATTTTCATGATCAGTAATTTTCCGACAAAACCCTACTTGACATTCAGCCCCCCTAAAATTTTGATGCTTGCATTCTTACTTCCTTACTTCTTCCTGTTTTAACACACGCAAAGAGCCACCATGATGCAGGTAATGTAGGTGTCAAAAATTGAGCAAATACTGGTACTAATTGGTTATTTTTCCTCTCAAAAAACAAACCAAAAATGATTAAATTGAATGTTTTGTTTGCTTGGTAACTGCAGGAAATTGACAAATAACCACCAGTTTTGTTGTATTATTTGACAATGAAGGGAGGTGCATCTTTAATTTATTTCATTTTTTTTTTTAAATAATATTCGAATTACAAAATTACCTACTCGCCCTCGTACATGAAATCTTGTATGAACCACAGGCGCGAATGGTGTTTGTTGCTGCTCCTCGTGCTTCAATTTCCACGCGGCGGGCAGCAAACACCCTAATTGCGCCCTTGGTACATAAATAACTATTGTGTAATTATTTGTATGTTTTTATTTTTATATTTTTGAATTTTTCAGCGACTTCACATTTGATAAGAATTCAATTTTGTTTAATCTGACTTTCAAAATTTTGGGGGCTAAGCGTCAAGTTAGCCCCCCAGTAGGATTTTGTCGGAAAATGACCAAATCTGGAAATTTTGAGAAAAAACCTGAAACAGCACAGTTTAGGACACTTCAGATTGGATGAGAATCCATATTGGTTTAATCTGATTTTCAAAATTTTGGGGGGTTGGGCGTCAAGTTACCCCCTCATTGCTTTTTTTTTGTCCCTATAACTTTGGTATCGAAACGGCACAGTTGAAAATATCATCGGAGAGTGAAGCACAACACTCCGAGCACAGTAAGTGGTTGCAATTTTTTTAGAAAATTCGAATGTGGGTCCTGTGGGGGGCTAGCTTGACGCAGCTACTATCACTTAGTTATAAAGGGATAGTATAGTAAAAATTTTAATTTTACTTTCTTCGACAATGCATTTAAACTCTCATCAAATCACTACGAAAGCTTAGAGCTGCCATGCTAACATTGAAAAATATTTTTAGGAAAATTTACACTTTTCCTGCAAATTTACACTTCTGTAAATTTAAACTTTTTCTGTAAATCTAGTTAATAGTTAGGGTTAGTTTGGGTTAGCTTGTAATTTTGATCAGACATTTCCCAACTAACCAATAACAACCTGGTTAGTTTGGGTTACTTTGCAATTTTAATCAGACGTCATCACCAAACTTACCGATAATATCCCGGTGAGGTTGCAGTTTTTTCAAGAAGACATTAATACATTTTCAACGATAATAACCCGGTTAGTTTGGGTTAGCTTACGATTTTAATCAAACATTACCATTATGTTTTTTAAATTATTGATTTTCGAAATATTAATTTTCGAAATAAGCGTTTTCGAAAAGGTTAATTTTCGAAATAAAAGCATTCAGAAAAAATCGAAATATGTATTTTCGAAAATTGAACATACATAGAGGACTGATAAATATTGCGAACTTATCCAAACTAACCAGGTTATTGTTATTCTTGTTGGTAATATCAGACTAAAATTGCTAAAGAACCCAAACTAACCGCGCTATCATTGGGAAGTTTAAAAATGTTCAATTGAAATTGCAAAGTAACCCAAACTCACTGGGTTTTTATCGGTGGGTTTGGTAATGTCTTCTTAAAACTGCCAACTAACACAAACTAACCGGGTTATTATCGGTGAGCTTGGTCTGATTAAAATTGCAAGTAACCCAAATTAACCGGGTTATTATTGATAAGTTTGGAAATGCCTGATTAATAATTGGTGAGTTTGTGAATATTTTTATAGGCATTGAGGCGCACAATTTTGGGCTTGTTAATAGGAAACCTTGCATCGCTTGCTGCTGCAACAAGTATTTAATTGGTTAATTGGCTCATACTTTTTATTTTGGTCTGTTGCGGGTTAAAAAACTGTTTTTTGGAATTCATTTTGTTAATTTGAAACTCAATATTTGTATTAAAATAAGAATTAGGTACCTACTGCTGTTGTTTTGCAACTGTAAGAAATGAAAATTTTCATTAGAAATATACAAAAAAAAATATTCGAGATGTTTTTTTGATGAAATTTTGGGTCAAAATTTGGGCGTAACACTTGAAAATTTTGTTTGGGTTAACTTGATGGGCCATGGGCCTCACCAGTTTGGATTGTCACGAGCCGCCACTGAATTCCAGACAGTTTTAAGTGTGGTTTACATAATTTCGTAAGTGCCGCAGTATTAAAATTTTCTGACCTATCTGGCAAATCAAATTTGATACATTTTTCAATAATGCTATATTATAAACGGTACCTAACTATTTTGTGTACCTGCAAAATCTAATAACATTTTTTAAAATTCGGCATTGTCAAATTTCTTTCGTATTGAAGATGCCGAAAATAATTTCAGAAGAAAAAAAAGGGAAATATTGAAATGTCATGGCTATTTAAAAAAAAATAAACCACAGGCTCTCCAGGGAACAATAATTGAAGCCCAACTTGCAGAAATATTTGAGGTAGGTATAACTTAAATGTAGATGTGAAGCCATTTCTTACCCAACCAACACTTTACCTTAAATTTTAGGTGGGAACCAGGACTATTCAAAGAATTTTGACTGGACAATATACAAACAAAAAACCTTTAGGCCGACCGAAAAGGACAGAGACTATTATGGACCGAATGTTTAAAGAAGATTTACAACGACAAATTTGGAAATACAATTCTAAAAATGAATATTTTACATTACAAACATTACTGACAAAATTTGGAATTTAAGGGAGGGCAAAAAAGTTTATATAAAATTTTAAAATCAATGGGATATAAATTTAAATTAGTAAAGAGACGCAAAATTTTATGTGAGCAGAAACATGTTCTTGCTGCCAAAATAACATTTCTGCGGAAATACCTGCAATATAAACATTCAAACGAAAATATCAGATTCGTGTATTTAGATGAAACTTGTATCTACCAAAACGGATCTCAAGTTCGTGGATGGATACACGAATCTGATATGAAATGCAACCCATCCAAAATTAAGTCAGAGGGAAAACGTTTTACTATTTTGCATGCGGGGAGTAGTTCTGGGTTTTTAGATGGGTGCGATTTTTTTCTAGATTCAAGAAACAATGACAGAGACTACCACAATACCATGAACGCGGACATCTTCCAAAAATGGGTCGTTGATCAACTAATTCCTGCATTGAATATAATTGAAGAGAATAATAGTAATAATCATGGACAACGCTCCATATCATTCAGAGCAGAAGGATAAACCACCTTCATTCTCTTCAAAGAAAGACAAAATGCAGGAATAGTTGTTTAAACATAACGTATACTTCGACACAAAAATGACCATAAAACAACTATGGGACAACAATCGATCCTGCAAAGGAAGATATTTGGAAAGAGAGGACCAAAAAGAAGAAGAATATCGTGACGGAAAAATCTCAGAACATTGTTTGATAAAAGCTCGCCACAACTCTTCCATATTGCTGCGAATAAAGTGAACATCGCCATAATAATCGATGATTGCCGACATTCATAAAGGATAGACACGTCCAGAAGAAGAAGAAATAAAAAAATGAAAATAGAAGAAATGCCGTTGGACCAAACCCGAAAAAAAAGTTACTGCAAAAACATATTTATGCTATTGAGCTTACTGTTATGGTTACGTTCAATTAATAAATTGAATAATTTTACTATTTGAATTTACTCAGATATTTTACACATTCTGGCAACTTGGCTTTCTGTTTCATAACCCTGAAATTTGAAAAATAATTTGTCATCAAATGTCATTATTATACGAGGGTCAACCTGTCAAATTTCCATGGCACACCAGTTCGCCAATAATAAGTGAAAAGCTTATATGTCATAAATAATAAAAAATATATAAACAATAAAAAGTCCACAAAAGGTTGAATTTAAAATTGAGTAACTGTTGACGGAATAAAAGACAACTATTGGGTGAAAGAATAATTAAAATACTCATCGAGCGAATAGAAAGCTGGCTTCACTAGTGCTCCCTTTAAGGTTTTGCGAAACTTTGAGATATTTGAAGGCAGCTGATTATAGATTTTTATGCTATTATAAATTATTGAATTTTGCACCAAAGCCGAATGGAGTATCGGAAGAGGAATGTCATGCCTTTGACGAGTTAAGCAAGC